TAAAGTAATATTACTATGTTACTATTTTATATTATTTATATTATTACTATATATATTATTATATATGTAGTAATATGTATTTTATGTAAGTATTATTTTACTTACGTATGTGTTAAATATTATAGACAAGATAATATATATAATATGTATAGTATATATTATATATTAATAATATAATATATATAATAATATAATATATTATATAATAATATAATACAATATAAGTATTAGTAATATATATATATATATATATGTGTGTGTGTGTGTGTAATATAGATAGTATAAAGTAAGGTGAATAGATTGTCGATAATAAATTGCTTCGTGGTTACTGAGAATCTCGAAAATTGCCTACTACTAGTCAAATGCTAAATAATAGAAAAGAATCGATCGGATTTGATTATTAGGTCTGAAATACCAACGTCATCTAGAATAATGTATTAAAGTACAGTTAATTTCATGTTTTTTTCTTTTCTTTTCCTCTTTATTTTATTTTATTTTTTTTTTTTTCTATTCTTTTCTTTTCTTTCATTTATCTTTACCCTCTTATCTTAAAATAGAGGTCAATCGCCAAAGGATGCCCTTTGAGAGAACAAGAATATTCCCCAAAGTATATCATAACTTTGTAATCGTGTAAATGTCAATTCTCTCAAGTACAATTAACATATAACAATACAAAATATAATTTTACATTGAACAAAATCAAATCATTTTTTTTTTTTTCTTTTTTTCAACAACTACAGAACATTCTTTTACTTCTTGTATTCAAATAGAGTTAAAAAAAAAAAAAAAAACGAATTAACGATTCAATTGAATTTCAATTTGTAAACAAATATCTGCTGATAGACTAAAAAAACAAAAATTAATGGAAAAGAAAAAGAAAAAGAAAAAGGGGAAAGGAAAAATAATTTTTCAAAAGAAAATACAAAATACGAAAAAAAAAATTGCAATTTGATTTCTACACCTTGTTTCGAATACACCAAATAAATCAATAAATAAAAACAAAGTAAAATATATTTAATAA